GAATACAGGTTAATGGTTTTTTCCACAGTAAACGACAAAGATTAATGAGTTTTGGCTCTAAAACTGCGTCGATTGAATACGGCACTTAAAACGGTTGTGTGTGTGTGTGTGTGTGTGTGTGTGTGTGTATGTGTGTGTGTGTGTGTGTGTGTGTGTGTGTGTGTGTACGTATGTGTGTATCCGACTGTTTATCACCTCAGTGACCCAAAGAAAAAAAAAACTTCATCCTCACACTCCCGAGCTGTCTTTCCAGAAGGAGACACTTCACGATCCAGAGAATGACAAATCTCCTGTCGACTTCTGAAGCGCAGGCACCGTACTTCCAGCCTCTTACTAGAGCCACAGCCTCCGAAAAGAAAATAAAAGAATTACAAGCCATGAGGCTGTCCCAGTGTTTCCTCTAACACCTCAATGATGATAATATAACCCTAATTTAACTTAATTTTGCATATATTAAGTCAGCCTGTAGCTGACTTAATATATGCCGGTCTCTTGACCAGGCCGCCTGGTTGATGGCCTGATTACTCAGGCTGCTAGTATTCGTATGACGCAGTCCAACGTAGGACACAACAGCCCTGCTGATCAGGCACTCCCTTGAGGTACTTAGCAAGTAACTAATTCACACACTAAACAGATGGTTAACTATATGAAAATACAATGTTTCCTGTTCGCCTAGCAGTAAGTAGGTACCTGGGTGGCATCCTAGGGGGTGGTAGTATATGAGCTGAGGCAGGATAACAGCTCTTAGCCTGTAAAACTGATTTATGTAACAAAAATTATGCACGCAAATAGCTGTTGAAAAATTATAGAAAATGAAGTGAGCAGATCTGTGGTTATGACAGCTGGGTGATTAATGTTCCTCTCACATTTCCCGCCAAAACTTGTATGCCATCTGTCTTTGGGCGCGAAATTACTCGCCTTGCCCCGGCGAAACTGACATATTATTAATAGGTTATAACTATGTCATCTCTTAGCTATTGAGATCCTGGTGCCTCGCTAAATGACACTTCTCGAGCACAATTTTGTCGCTCTTATAGCAAAATTATGATCCAAATGCGTCTGCAGTAGCTCCTAGTTTAACCTCTGGTATAGATATACCTTTGATGAGTTTCTCGTGTCTTTCTACCCCCGGAGCCCGGCCATAGGTCAGGATCGTAGACTTTCATATGCTCTTCATCCTCATGAAATACTCTAAGGTAAACTTTATTTTGATGTAAGATTAGTATCAACTCGATTTTTCTAATCATTGAAGTTATAGTTATACAAACATGATTATTACTGTTAGTCAGATAACCTAAAAAAAAAAAAAGGCAAGGGGAAAAAATCTTTCTTCAGCGCAAGAGGAGTGAAAGATTGTATTAGCTAGGAATGTAGTGAAGGCTGACTCAGTATAGCTCTTAGGCTCCGAAGCAGCACAATAACAGTACAGCTGCATACATTAGCCCTGCTACATGATAGCGACCAAATGTTTAGGCTATTTTATCACGGATACATTTCGGCCCTGGGATTTTCAACTTCCTGGTTAACAAGCTGATCAACAAGGCTACTGGTGATAGCCGCAAGAAATGCCAATGATTTGTAAGTCACTTGAACTTAGGAGGTATCTTGAAGACAGATACCTGTTCACCTGATAACACCTGTTTACTGTGATCTTATTGCATATTAATTAATATAAATATATATTATAAATATATATTATATATATAATTTATATATATATATATATATATATATATATAATAATATATATATTATATATATTATATATATAATCCCAATCCCCGTTTCTCCGAGCTCAACACATCTCTCGCCTTGCTGTTGAAGAATTTATTTTTCCAGCTATTTACTGAAGTGCTTGAAACGAAGTAAATTACACTCGTCTGTATCTCAACGCCAGATATATATATATATATATATATATATATATATATTTATTATATATTATATGGTAGTAGGTTGGTAGACAGCAACCACCCAGGGAGGTACTACCGTCCTGCCAAGTGAGTGTAAAACGAAAGCCTGTAACTGTTTTATATGATGGTAGGATTGCTGGTGTCTTTTGTCTCTCATAAACATGCAAGGTTTCAGGTACGTCTTGCTACTTCTACTTACACTTAGGTCACACTACACATACATGTACAAGCATATATATACACACCCCTCTGGGTTTTCTTCTATTTTCTTTCTACTACTTGTTTATTTCCTCTTATCTCCATGGGGAAGTGGAACAGAATTCTTCCTCCGTAAGCTATGCGTGTTGTAAGAGGCGACTAAAATGCCGGGAGCAAGGGGCTAGTAACCCCTTCTCCCGTATAAATTACTAAATTTAAAAAGAGAAACTTTGGTTTTTCTTTTTGGGCCACCCTGCCTTGGTGGGATATATATATATGTATGTGTGTGTGTGTGTGTGTGTCGATTATTGCTATAATCAAAGGGGAAGCGCTAAACTCGTAGGATTATACAGCACCTGTGGATGGAAGGAAGGTATCCAGGGTTAACTCAGGGAATTGGATCACAGATCAAGAGCCCCTCACCAGCATCAAGGAACCTTCCTTGTGGGATCGTGTCGAATAGGTAAATCTGTTCAATTAGCAATTAAGTCCTTTCTAAAATTTTCTCTTATACGTTTAAATATATATATATATATATTTTCATTTATGCTAATGTAAAAATTAATAATATTGTACCAAAAGAACCTTAAAAACTTACCTAACCTTATTATAAGCTCACTTTAGTTTAGCCTAATCCAACTAAATATATTTTTCATAAGTTTACAATAATTTAATAATAAACACAATGAAATGTATTTTTTTCGTTAGGTTCAGAATGATTTTTGCGAAATTATTGCATACACAAATTTTCGCTTGCCTTATTCGGCAAGAGGAGCGTTGTTATTTAGTCAAAATCGCAAGTTTTACCTATTCGGCACGACATATATATATAGCTAGATATATAATGGAGTGTTTTTCAGTCAAACTTGTAAACAATACTGATATACGTTAGACTAATCTTATATACAATAAGTAAGGCTAGGCTGTATTTCGTAAGCTTTGATGATAAATTTTTGTGAAATATGAAAAATTTACTTGGCAGCAACAGCCTGGTTGACCAACATGGTCTGGCTCCAAGCCGGGTAGCAATGAGGAGAGAAAGTACAAGTAGAACATGAGAAGACAGCAGAATAAGAGAATGTACCAGAGATATAACAGAAAGTAACATTATTGATAATAGCATCAGTGAGAGAAGGTAACAGCAATGACAGAATAAAGAAACAGCAATGAGAGTAGTAGAATAAAGTAAGAGCAATGATAGAATAAAGAAAGTAACAACAATGATAGCAGAATAGAGAAAGTAATGATAATAGCAGAAAGTAACTGGACTGAAAAGTAAGTGTTATGGGATGTCTTAATGAGCTCCTGTGTCAGAGTGCCACATTGACCGCGCCCACGCTAACAAGAACACTGGAAGGGGTTGTCATTAATGACCTGGTGTAGTTCCCTAACAACTGTCGTGTCCAGGTTATCAATTAACGTATTACCATGCGTAAAAAAATTACCTTTCCATTGACATTATTTATTAAATAACCTTGTTCTCGCCTTACTAGCAAGCGTGCTTGTGTGTGTGTATGGTGGCGTGACGTGCGTGTGTATGGTCGGGGTGAGGGGGTGATGTGCGTGTGTATATGGTGTTGCGAGTGAAGTGTATTTCGCTAGAGTTGCTAAGCATATTTGCACCACTCGATTATTTTTATGTAAATTTAAACTCAGCTTTAAAGAGAAAACGTATTTTTAATTTATCATGATGGTAAAAACTTATTAGATACCCGTTAATTAGCAAACAAAAACCTATGTTGCCGATGGTACACAATACCGATGAGTAGAAAAATAAGACACTGCAACACTTGGGTATCTTTATTGCCCGAAACATGTCGCCTGCACAACAGGCTTCTTCAGTCGATACAGGCGAGGTTAATACTGGCGGCAGTAGATGCAGCCTTGGTAGCAGGTGCTCAGTCTGCGTGACGTTTCCGTTGATGTGGGAAGTCATATTGTACGTCAAGGGAGAGTTGACAAGTGATCTGGTCGAAGTATAAGAGTGAGATCCAAGGAAGTATCGTGATAACTTGGATTTACTCTGCAAAAGTCCTTATCAAGTTACTGCAATACCTGAAAATCCTGCAAGTAAAGAGCTAAGCTCCTGTGTTAATTCAGTTTAGGAATTATGGTTAGGAAATTCTAATAAATTAACTTAGATTTAGCATAACTTGGTAGAGTCACTAATCTTGCCGTGCGTCCAACTTTGAAGTTAAAATATTTTTTGTTAAGTATTTACGATTTTCTTTAGTTACTAGAACTTGTTACGTAACTGACCTACGTCACCTCCTTTCTAATAATAGTGTAGACACTCTTAACAATTCTTCCTCATCTTTACTGGTAGAAAACAACAAAAGCAAGACAAATGCCAAGTTTATTATTATTATCAATTATTATTATTCAAGCTTATTACTGAATATGCAAAATATCCAGTGAAACAGTGAAATTCCAGGCGTTTTCGTGACTTCTCACATTATCACGAAAACCCTTCTAATTTTACTTTTTTTTTTTACTATGGTTGTTTTGCATATTGTGATATCACCTACTTACTGTGATCATACTGCATTATTGAATATGTTTAACAATGTACATTTTTGTGAGGATATATACACTGAGAGGTGTATCTCTGTGTATACAGTATTCTTGACCGGTGGTGAACAGGCGATATGCAGCCTTAATGACCCTATTGTAGTCGATAATTTTTAAGCCCAACTGTACATTTTGGTCCTGACAGCTTGCATGTGTGTGTGTAAATGACGGCTGGCTGGTTGAGTGGGTAAGTCTGCCTGGGAGTTTTCCAATTACAAACTCCCAACTATTAAATAAAATTTTAAAACGATATTTGAAGTAAATAGAAAGTTTCTTGAATTTATATAAATAAAACTTTCCCAAATGTTTCTCTTTCAGAGTTGCGGGTATAAATCCCAAGTCCTTGGCCTGTGTCAGAGGTTCTCCAGCCAGCAGAACAGTGACGTGTTTACCCATGTCAGTCTGACCTGCAGTGTGATTTCAGTCGGACTTAGGTTTGAGCAGCAGTAGCAACTTTGAGGTTAGTGCGACTCGACACACCACCACCTTTGATGAGTTTCGAGACTTTTTCTACTCCTGGAGCCCGGCCATGGGCCAGGCTCATCTAGCCCACAAGTTGTTTAAGTTAAGTTACATTTGAACTCAAGTTAGAAATTAAATTAGGAAAGTATAAAGTTAGGCGTTTTGATATGTTAAAATAGTTAATAGTCCTATAGCAGATAGTCCTAGAGTAGTTTTGTTTATATTACTATTTAAATTAAAATAGTATAATCAAACTAAGCGCTAAACCCAAAAGGGCCATACAGCGCTAAGTAGAATTAAAAGGGGAAAAAAGTATCAGCTTTATTCTTATCAAGTATGTCTAATTTTTCCTTCAAGTATCTTTAAATATACAAAACTTTAACACAGATCTTGTGCCATTTTCCTCCTACCAAATCCTTAAATCTCTCCCTTTCTCTCTTCTCTCTCTTCCCCTGTTCCACCTCCACCCCTCTCCTCTGTGTCCCCCGTTCCGTCCACTTCCTGGTCAACCACAGCTTCTACTGTGGACAATTATATCTCAACTCGTCCCGCGTCGCCAGGCATTTCGTTTGAAGCAGACGACAGATCTGTTAGTGTCTGCTCTTTCCTGTCCTACTTCAGACTTGTTGCTCCTGTCCTTCTGACTGCCTGTTCCTCCTGTCTAGCTGCACACCTACTACTTTCCAGCTGCAGATCTACTACAGCAGTTCTGATAGACCTGACTTTAGTGCTGGAGGCCTAAACGGCTTCTGCTGCAGACCAACTACAGCAGTTCTGCTGGATACCAGCTCTGCTACTATCCTGATGGAGGCCTGCTCCTTTGCCACTATCTCTCTGCTACCGGGAATCCTGCGGTGCGTCTTCCCTATCTTCATCAACTTCAAAGCAGCCAATACGACGTGTTTCTCCTCAGTATGAAAGCCATCTGCCTAGACCAACATTCTGCTAGACAGCTCTGTCTACACCTACACTCACACACACACACCACACACACACACACACACACACACACACACCTCCGTTTTTATCTTTTCAGTCTATTATATCTTTCTGTTCCTTCGTCACTCTTCTATATTGCTTATGTCCGTGTGTCCCTGTTCAATCTTGCTCCTCTTGTCCCTCATATTTTTCCTTTTCATGTCCCTGTTCTACTTCCCCGTCTTCCTATGGCCCTGTTCTATCTTCTCACTGTTATTCGTGTCCTCTCTCTGTTCCTAGTGTTCCATCTCCATCTCACTTTACATTTGCCTTTTATGCTATCTTGCCCTCTTCCTATTGGCATCCATCTTGCCCCTCTTCCTCTTGACATCCATCTTGCTCCCCTTCCTATTTACATCTACCTTCCCCTATTTTGAAGAACTGGGATATTTTCTTGCGGAATTCACGAAATACACACATCAACAAGGCCTGGTCTAGGACCGGGTCGCGGGAGCGATGACACTCGAAACAGATTACTTTGTTCTCTTGTTTTACCTCCCCTTTTATTCCTGCCCTTCTTTCCTCTTCGATCCTCTTGCCCCATTCTTTCTCGTTTCACTCTCTCCTCTTTGCCTCCCTTATCTCTCATTCTAACTCTTCTTCCCCAATCTCCTCCCTGCCTCCTTTCATCTCCTTTATCCTTCCTCTGTCTCTCCCTAACAGCACACAGTCCCCCCACATGTCATGCATACTAATCACAGTTTGACTGATCAAGCGACGCTATCTACCTGGAGTACCTATGATCTAAGCAAGGACCAGTAGTTTACCAGGAACACCTGAAGTTTACAAGAATAAGTAAACAAGTTCTTGCAGTCTACCAGGACACGTGATCTACCAGGACCAGTTATCTACCAAGACCCACGATCTACCAGGACCAGTTATCTACCAAGACCCACGATCTACCAGGACCAGTTATCTACCAGACTCTAGGATTACTCAATTTACCTGAATCAATTACAAAGTACCTGGAGTATCATGGAGTGCCTATAGTGAAACTGGATTACGTATAGGATAACCAACCACAGAATGCCTATAGCCTAACCATGGAGTACATATAGCCTATCCATGACATACCTAAAGGTTAACCTTGAAGTACCTATAGCCTAATCATGGCATACATATAGCTTGAAGTCTCTTGAACTGTACTAACTGGAAAGTAGGCGAGATGCATCATAATTTACGCCTGAAAAATTCTGGAGGGACTGGTCCCAAATCAGTACACCGAAATTACTCCCCACACGAGCAAGAGGCTTGGCAGATGGTGCCCAACACCTCGTAACCATCAGGTAACCATGGCGTGCTTACAGTCACCCTTCCAGTGACAAAAGTGAACCAGACTGTAGTCATCGGCGTCCTTTCACCTCCCTTTCCCATCCCCTAACCCAGACCGACAATATATCTTGTCTGTGGACCAGACTGCAGCAATCGGCGTTCCCTTCTCCTCCCCATCCCGTAACCTGGACCGACAATTTCTCTTGGCCGTGGACAAGGTTCTTGATGCATCAATTAAGCGTGCTGGTGCTGCCTAATTCATCACACAGGCCAGAGTGCCACAGTTCGACGTACCTCCTATCCATCACCGACCAAGGATTTCCCTGTTTTTTCCTTCCCAGTGGGTACGACGTGCTTTTTTCGCTTTGCAGGGTGGACGGAGAGACAGCGAGATAAGGAGACAAAGAATGAGAGAATAGGACAGTCAAAGAAATAAAAAAAAGTTGAGACAAAAAAGGAAGAAGACAGATAAGGAGAAAGGATATGGAAAAGGAGGGGGATAAAACAAAGGACGAGACACGAGAAGGGAAAAGAAACGATAAGAACACAAAGGATGAGAGAAAAGGAGAGAGATAAGAGATAAAGAACAGAGACAAAGAGGTAAGGAGACACAGAGATAAGCAGAGACAGAGATAAGGAAGAGGAGGAAACAAAAAGCGTCATTCGCCGTTGAAGAACCATTTCATCATTGTCTGGCTTTCAGCATTTAGACCTACTGTGATGGAGCGTGGGAATGGTGACGGGCTTGTCGGACTGAGAGAGGGGAATGAGAACGGAAATTGGAAGTGGAAATACAGGGGGAAGGGAGAGGGGGTGAATGGGAAAAATAGTGGGAGAGGCGAGATTGAAAAACGGGGAATGGGGAGATAGGAAATAAGAATAGGGGATTGGCATAAACTAAGGGACACATAAGCTGAGGTGGGGGGGGGGGAAGAGTGGGACGAAGTTGGAATGATTTATATTCGATTATATTTTTTTCCGCCAAAGTGGCTAGTTGACTGATTCTGCACCATATATCCATCCTCAGTACACACAATATTAGTGCGCCAAAGACCTAGGCACTAGCTCCCCCCCCAAAAAAAAAAGGTTAACATAAGTACACCTGAATACCTATTCAAAAATTATTTTATCTATTGTAAGTATATTTAGGAAATTTGTTTACAATGACTGATATCTTATTGATGAAAATAACACATAGGCTATTACAACTCTCCTCAAATTAACTATACAGCAACGTTCAAGAATGATCGTGTGTGTCACAAGTGCTTGTAACCAAGAATAAGTCTGGCTACTACGTCAGTCTTGTTACGTTGCAAGTTGATCCGTAAATGGACTTGTCTATCGGTTCATGTTACAACGAGTTATAGATCTACCATCATAGGAATAGCGTTAAATTATTATAATCATTACTAAGTGCTAAACCCAAAAGGGAATAGTTAAAGCCTTAAAGTTACACTATTTTTCCTTGTTTCAAGGCAGTTTCTTTAGCTAATTCATCAGTTTTATGATGTAGCAGTAATTCTGAGTGCTAGGAAATCCCTAAGAATTTATTAATTCCCTACTGATTTTTAAATGCTTATACCTGGCTTCTGCACTGTGAATGTTGCCAGACACTGAGAACCAATGATCTTTATTAATAACATAGACTAATTAATGACTAAGGAATCAAGCTCAGTGTGGTAACACCTTCAGAGGTACCTTGATGTCAGTGAAGGGCTCTTGATCCAAGATGGTGAACTTATTCTTCCCTTGGAATCGATTATTATAATCAAAGGGGAAGTGCTAAACCCGTAGGATTATACAGCGTCTGTGGGGGAGATGTGAAAGGAATTCAGGTTTAGTTCTGGGAATTGGAGCACAGATCCGATTCCCTAGATCAAGAGCCCCTCACCAGCGTCAAGAAACCTTCCTCGAGGGGTCCCTGGAATCGAACCTGAATGCCTCTCACCCCCCAGGTACCTACGGGTCTACCGCTTCCCCCAGGTGAAAATAAAACAAATGACTATTGTTAAGTTGGCATCAGTGCTTCAGTTCCCTGAAGTGAGAGCCTGACTGTCTTCCATATCCCCCCCCAGCCATATAATCCCTACGGATTTAGCGCTCCCCCATAATGTCTTGAAGTTAATTATAATGTCACGTGGGTAGGAAACAATTCAGTCAGCAGTGTAGACGTCCAACATGGCTGCCACAGTTATGCAGGGAAGTGGCAACTCTAAAAATTCGTCCCCTCAGGTTTCCTTGGTGAGGAAGGGGGTGCTCGTGAGCCAAGGAATCGAACCTGTCCATCCCATTCCTTTGGATCGAATGTGATTACCGCCCATTCCTGCAGGGACTGCATAGCCCCTATGGGTTTAGCGCTTCACACCAAAATAGTAAGAACGTTGCAGATTGCATAAGTCAAGAGATAAATTTCTTCTTGGATAACTGCAGGTGATTATTATACTATTATAATCATCGGCAAGCGCTAAACCCACTAGGGTCATACAGCGCTGCTTAGCAGCTATAAGCTTCCTGAGGAGTGCTTATATGATATTAATTAATAATCAGTTCCATGGAGAGCTGAAATGCTCTTGTCTATGGAGTTACAGTTCATGTACTTTTTGGGAGGAAGAGTGACTGCAGAGAAAAATAAGGCGGGGAGGGGGGAAGGCCTGAGGGGGGAGGTCAGAAGGGAGGATCGGGGGTGAAAACCTTCAGTTAACGAGGCGAGACATTTGGCAGATGTTATCCCTGGCAGGCTTCAAGTCC